ACGGTTTTGAATGACAGCAACAGCCACTTATGCTGTAATATGGTTTGGACTATAAAAGGTATACTCAATCCCCAGGAGGGGGTGGAAGGGTGTAGACTTGCAGCCTGCCCCTTGGCCTGCCAGCGGGTGGACCTGGACCACAGGCTGATGAATAAAGTTTCCGCCTCCTGCTTTAAGATCGACTCGGTGATTTATTCAATCTCACCTTTGCACTGTTAGAAAGTGAGGGACCCAGAACTGAAAAAATGTGATCCCTTTCTTTAGTGAGTTCATAGTCTAATACACATACTCTGCAGGGAGATAAACGCAATAGTTTTCTAGTCAATGAATGTCAAAGTTACATGTTGACATTAGCCTAGGCATTCTTCAAAAAAGAGGTAAAATTTGAGTGTGATATTAGAGGTATGGAATTCTTAAATGTCATTATATTGAACCTTTTGTGACTTATGCATTTCAAGGTATGTAAGTATTCCATAAATATAAAGAGATTGAACTCTATTTAGTAGTTTTGCTTTTCCATGGGTACAAGTTGGCAATTCTGATATATCCTTCTATGAAGCCTAGAGTTAATTAAAATTTATATATATATATATATATATATATATATATATATATATATAGAGAGAGAGAGAGAGAGAGAGAGAGAGAGAGAGAGAGACATATAAAATAATGAGATTATATATAAATTATAAAATATATATATGAGCTAATGAGAGACTGAGAAACAGGCTTCACACTATTGAGAAGGGGGTCACATATGAAAATGTGTCAAGTGGCAGTATACCTGTGGTATTTGATTGTAATATGCAATGTTAATATAAACTAAAGGCTTTAAATAGTAGAATGTACTCTAATTCTTTAAATTTAATTTTCCAGAAAACCAAAAACACAATTTCCATTATCACATAAACTGCAAACTCCACTTAAAACTGTAAAATTGTAACTTTTTAAAAAGCCCATCAGAGAAATAACTTTGCTTCAGAGCCTGGAATTTAAAGAAGAGCCATTGTAAGGAATCAAGCACTGAACTCCTTGAGGCAATGCACAAAAGAAGGAGAAGTTAGAGGCCAGACAAGCAGACTGAGAAGAAAGTTTGGAGCAGACAAGATATTTGAATAAATAATAAAAAGAATGAAAGACTTCAAATATGTGCCCAAGAAGTACTGAGAACCCAAGCAGGATAAATGTAAGAAAAGAAATTCTACCTACACAAATAATACTCAAACTGTTGGAAACCAAACAAAGAGAAAATTTTGAAGGGAGCCCAAATAAGAATTCTGGTGGGTTCCTTATTTGAATGGATGCAACCCAGAAGACAATAGAGTAACATCCTTAAAGCCTTGGAATAAAAAAAAAAAAAACTATCAACCTATAATTCTGTATCTTTCAAAAATAAAGTCAAACAAATATTGTTTTAAACATAAATAAAGAGTGAATTATCAGCAGACCAGTGCTAAAAACTAAATAAGTAATTTAGCAGAAAGAATGTACTAGAAACTCAGCAATACCTAAAGAAATGAAGATTATGGAAGTGCTAAAAAAAAAGGTGAATATAAGTGACATGATTAATTTAATAATTGCTGTAAAGGATCACTAAATGGCTACAGTGAAAGTAGCAGCCAGGTGTTTGCAGAATATTTAAAATTAAAATTTAATATTTAAAATTTTAAATTAAAATTTGTGAAGACAGTAGCACAAAGGATGGGAAGGAGGACTTGTGAGTATATAGTTGTGAGTTGTGAGACCCTTAACTGCCTGTGGAGTAGTTTAAGGTGGACTGTCAATAATTAAATATACATACATATTAGCCATCTTTGGGCAATCATTAAAAAGTTATAATAGGAATACAAAAAATAAGCAATTGTAGAAATGAAAGAGGATCAAAAAAATACTTCATTAAACCAGGATTGTTGGCACAGGCCTATAATCCCAGCAGCTTGGGAGGTGAGGCAGGAGGATCATGAGTTCAAAGCCAGCCTCAGCAAAAGTGAGGCGCTAAGCAACTCAGTTAGACGCTGTCTCTAAATAAGATACAAACAGGGGTGGGGATGTGGCTCAGTGCTTGAGTGCCCCTGAGTTCAGTACCAAGTATCTTTCTCTACCAATAATAATAATAATAATAATAATAATAATAATAATTCATTAGTGTAAAAACATAAGTAATGGGGGAGAGGAACCAAGACTAAAGAGAATAAATATAAAACAAATAGCAGGAGGGTAGATTTAAATCTAACCCATATCAATAATTGCATAAAATTACCACATTAAAATTCAAAGATAGTCAGATTTTTTTAGGAAGCAAGACAAATACTTACTTGGTGGGGGATAACATGATCATGAAGGTGGTTTATTCAAAGCAAGACTTGTCCATTGCACCTCAGGTGTACTAACTCTTGCAATTTTTTCACTTCTGGGCAACAAGCCCAGAATTTGTGCTGTTGGGAATCATGCATTCATGCTTTCTCTCAAGATCAAAAAAAAAAAAAAATTAAAAAGTGAGGTCTTATGCCGTCTGCAAAATAAGTCCTTTATAAATACAAAGGCAAAAATATGCTTAAAGTGATAAAGAGGATATAGCATAATGATAATGAGGTAAATTCATAAAAGGATAAAAAGCTTAAGTGTGCATGAAGCTAAAAATACTTCAAGATACATAAAATGAAAACTGCTAGATCTGAAAGAATTAAACAAATGAACAACTATAGTTAAAGACTTTAATGCCCGTCTCTCAGTAATCAAACAAGTAAATAGAAAATACAACATTTTTAAACAGGTTGGCCTAATGGCAATGTATAGACCATTCAATCAAATAATATTAGAATATGTACTATCTTCGAATGCCTATAGTACATTCATCAAGAAAGACTATACTCTCGGTCTTAGAGCAAACCTAAAAAATTTAAGTAGAATCAAGTCACACAAAATATCATCTCTGATTATAGCAGAATTAAACTAGAAATCAATAACAGAAAGATATATCGAAAAAATTTCTAAGAATTTAGAGACTAACATGTAACAGATAAATCAAAGAAAATATTGAAATAGAAATTGGAAAATATTTTAAATTAAAATAAAAAATAGCATTGAATTGTTTTAATTAGCTAAAAATGAATATCAACATTTATGAGACATAGCTAAAGAAGTACTTAAAAAGAAAATTTATAGCTTGTTAGAAAAGAAGACTCTCATTTCAATGATCTCAATTTCCATATTAAATTTTATCCATAAAAAGTTTGAAGAAAGTAAATCATAAATCCTGGAATAAACCAACTAGAAAACAATAAACCATATAGAAAACAGGAAAATAATAGAGGAAAAATAAATGAGAAAAACAAGGAAAAAAGATAAAGATAAGTCTTCTAATCACACTGATAAGGATAAAAAGAAAGAAGACACAAATTGCCAACGTCAGAAATAAAACAGGGACATCATTACAGACACCATGGACATTATAAGGAGAGCCATGTGTGGTGATGCCCATGCCTAGAATTTCGTGACTCAGGAGGCTGAAGCAGGAGGATCCTAAGTTCCAAGCCAACCTGGGAAACTTAGTGAGACCCTGTCTCAAAATAAAAAGTTTGGGGATGTAGCTCAGTTGTACAGTGCTAGACTAGCATGAGGTACTGAATTCAATCCTCAATGCTGAAAAAAGAAAAAAGATAGTAAGGGGTATATTATAGACAACTTTATGCAAATAAATTTGATAACTTATATGAAGTATACAAATTTCTAAAAAGTCTCAAACTACCAATTTTTGATTAAAATAAATAGACAACATGGTCCTATAATCTAGTAAATAAATTGAGTTTGTAGTACCAACCTTTCCACAAAACTGATAAATTCCGCCCGATTAAGGAAGAAATATTACAAATACTATACAAACTATTCCAGAAAAATAGCAGAGAAGGACACAACTCTCTGTTGTTTATCAGACTAGCTTTACTCTGTAACAAAATCAGACAAATACACTACAGGGAAAAAATACAGACCTAAATCCCTCATAAGCATAACACCAAAATTCTTAACAAGCATTTAAAAATCAACCCTTTCAATTTGTGAAAAGGATAATACATGCTGGGCAAATGGGATTTTTCCTAGCAATATAGGGTTGGCACAATATTAGAAAATTAATCAATGTAATCTGATATATTAACAGATTATGATTATCTCAGTAGATGAAGAAAAATAATTTTTCAAAATTTAACATCTATGCATAATTTTAAAACTATGTAATACTTGGCAATCTAAGAGCAGGAGAAATTTTTTATAATCAGATACGGAGCATCTACACCAAACATAAAGTCTTCATAATTAATGATGAATATTGAAAGCTTTCTTTTTACAATTGAGGAAAAAAAAAAAAACAAGATCTGTGTACTTTTCACTCTTAATCAGCTTTTTACCAGTCCTTAGCTAGTGCAATAAGGCAAGAAAAAGAAAATGGCATACAGATTGGGAAGAAAGCACTTACAAATGGCATTGTTTACACAGAAAATTCCATAGAATCTATAAAAAATTGATACCAAAACAAGTATATATTGTGATGATTCACTCCATCCTTCTCCAGAGAAACCAATAGCCATTTACTTAAATGATGCCCGCTTGAGCAAGGGGAAGGTCCACTGCACACAAGCTTTGAATTGACTTTGGTATCTAGAGACCCAAAGCATCATGGAATCCTTGTTAGACTAGAGGATTATAGGAGTCGGGAAATGAAAAGGTTTCTGGCTAAAGTCTGATACACACTGGGCCCACTAAATTTATGGACTCATTCAGGGGCCATTGCCCCATTTTTTGTATAATGGGTTTGGATATAATTGCAGTGACAATTGGAGTGATCCCACTTCCCCGCATTGCTTTCTTGGTCTATGAGTCCAGTGCTATCGTAGTAGCACTGTGAAGGTGAAACTTTTGAAATTGTCTTCTTACCAAGATAATCAACGCAAAACAGAGATTGGTGTTCCCTATCTTATCCTTTTTTTAATAGCTAATCTCCCACTACAGGAACTGGATGGACCATAGAGAATGACCGTGAACTACTACAAGTCCAACCAAGTGTTGGTCTTGATTGTAGCTGCCATGCCAGCAGCAGGACCATTGTTAGAGCACATTCCTAAGATTTCAGGTGCGTGTGGTGCTCCATATATACTGTGTATGGTACCTACATCATGGGTGCAGCCTTTCCTGTTCAGATTAGAAGAAAAGATCAGTTTGCATTCGTGTGGCACAGACTATAATAATCATTTCCTGTTTTTCTTCAGAGCTTTGCTAATGGAGCCACCCCCTGTCATAAAGAGTCTGAAGTGATCTGGACCATCTGAACCCAGTGAACCTCACACTCATCCATTGCCTCAGTGACGTCATCAAGTTCATGGTCCAGGAGAAACAAGAGGAAGCTTGTGTGCTAGAAGCCTTGGTAAAACACATGTGCTCCAGAGAGGAGAAGATAAACTGTGAAGATGAGAGACCTGGAATGCAGTGGCCAGGTTCATGCTGAGATGCCCAACTCAAAGCCAAAGGTAGTTATTGCAAACCTCTCTTTGAGTTCTGGAAGCAACCCATGCCACCCCTTAAAATGCTGTTCTAGTCCATGAATTAGGTAACATGCTGGCTGCCAGCTTTGCATGGTACCTTAAACACTAACGGGCTCTGTAGGAAATGTAGGTCATAAGACAGGTCCACAACCATGAGAGGTGAGCGAGAAGGAGGGAAGATTCATTGGGAAGAGCCTGAAAGTTTAGTACTGGTTTAGCATTTGGTCTTTTGGGATTGACTAACTTCACTTAGCATTGTATTCTCCAACTCCATCCATTTACCTGCAAATGCCATGATTTTATTCTCTTTTTTATTTTTAATTAATTTTTAAATTTATATATGATGGTGGAATGCATTACAATTCTTATTACAAATATAGAGCACAATTTTTCATATCTCTGGTTGTATACAAAGTACATCCACACCAATTTGTGTCTTCATGCATGTACTTTGGATAATGATGTCCATAATATTCCACCACCATTTCTAACTCCATGCCCCCCTTCTTCCCCCTCCCACCCATCTGCCCTATCTAGAGTTCATCTATTCCTCTCATGCTCCCCCTCCCTACCCCACTATGAATCAGCCTCCTTATATCAGAGAAAACATTCGACATTTGGGATTGGCTAACTTCACTTAGCATTATCTTCTCTAACTCCATCCATTTACCTGCAAATGCCATGATTTTATTCTCTTTTATTGCTGAGTAATATTCCATTGTATATATATGCCACCTTTTTTATCCATTCATCTATTGAAGGGCATCTAGGTTGGTTCCACAGTTTAGCTATTGTGAATTGTGCTGCTATAAAGATTGATGTGGCTGTGTCCCTGTAGTATGATGCTTTTAAGTCCCTTTGGGAATAGATCAAGGAGTGGGATAGTTCCGTCAAATGGTGGTTCCATTACCAGTTTTCCAAGGATTCTCCACACTGCTTTCTATATTGGCTCCCTCAGTTTGCAGTCCCACCAACAGTGTTTGAATGTACCTTTTTCCCCACATCTTCACCAACACTTATTGTTGTTTGTCTTCATAATAGCTACCATTCTGACTGGAGTGAGATGAAATCTTAGAGTAGTTTTGATTTGCATTTCTCTAATTGCTAGAGATGTTGAACCTTTTTTTATATATTTATTGATTGATTATATATCTTCTTCTGAGAAGTGTCAAAAAAACTAGGGATAACAGGAACATATCTCAACATCATAAAAGCTATCTATGCTAAGCCCCAGGCCAACATCATTCCAAATGGAGAAAAACTGAAAGCATTCCTTCTAAAAACTGGAATAAGACAGGGATGCCCTCTTTCACCACTTCTATTTAACATAGTTCTTGAAACATTGGCCAGAGCAATTAGACAGACAAAAGAAATTAAAGGAATACACAGAGGAAAGGAAGGACTCAAATTGGCACTATTTGCTGATGATATGATTCTATACCTAGAAGACCCTAAAAAATTCCACCAGAAAACTTCTAGAAGTAGTAAATGAATTCAGCAAAGTAGCAGGGTATAAAATCAACATCCCAAAATCAAAGGCATTTCTGTATACCAGCGATAAATCCTCTGAAAGAGAAACGAGGAAAACTACCCCATTTACAATAGCCTCAAAAAATAAAAAATAAAAAAAATAAAATACTTGGGAATCAACAAAAGAAGTGAAAGATCTCTACAATGAAAACTACAGAATGCTAAAGAAAGAGATTAAAGAAGACCTCAGAAGACAGAAAGATCTACCTTGTTCTTGGATAGTCTTTCCTTCTTAGAAGTTGATTTTCTCAGGTATTTTATCACAGTGACTAATAATAGGGTGCTATCATTAGGTAGAAGACAGAGATGCCACTAAATAACCTACAATGCACAGAGTAGGCTTCTTGACAAAGAATCATCTGGCCTGGAATGTCAATAATACTAAGGCTGAAAATCCTGTATTGATGACACTTTAGATACTTTATTAGACAATGCTCTAATATGATATAGAAAGGGAATTTAAAGAAGAGTTTTAATTTCCCTTGACCTCCTTCACTTAAATGTAAAAGTGTTCTAATTATAGTAGAAACTTCATTTAGTTTTGTGGAGAATTAAATAAAACAATTGTGGTTGATTGTATTTTTATGAAGATCGCCCACCCAAACAGATATCCCATCTACATCTTTCTCCTCCTATGTGCCACTGACATTTCTGTCTTAAGGGTGGGGTTATGTTCCCTTTCTGTGACCTTGGGTGGCTCTCCATACCTGGCCATGACAGCAGATCACAGCTGAAGTGACAGCTCATGATTTCTGAGACTGGGTCACAAAAAGCAAGACAGTTTCCTCCTGGCTCACCTGAGGAAGAAGTCTGGCTACCCCAGACTTGTTCCTTAAATAGCAGTGGTACCTATCTTACAAAGGGACCCATACAGGAGGAGGCGCTGGCTGTTCCTACCCCAGCTTGTCCAATATTACCAGTTCAACCACCAGGCAGGGAGACCCAAGGCTTGGAGATAATCCAGGCACCATCTGTCTGCAACCTCATCACAAAGAAACACCATCTAGAACAACCCAACTGAACCACCCCAAGGTCCCTGGCCCACAGACACCACGGGTGATAACAAATGATATTGAGTTTTAAAAACCTACATTTGGGGATGATTTGTTGCACAGCAATGGACACTAAAACAAAAATATACATGGTCCTTAGGACAAGTCTGACAAGTTTCTTCAACAGTCTCTATTTGGGGGTGTTTTAGTACTTTGTAAGTTTTATATTTTGAAATAGTGTTTGAAACTAATATTTAGTATTTTGAACTTAGGAATTTAGTTAGTATTCAGTACTATGTTTGCATACCCTAGAGGGCAAACCATGCATACATAGAGAGCCATCTCTGTATGTGGAGGTGTAGTTTTCCAATGGCAACACCAGGCGGAGCCAGACTCTAATTTATCTCCGTACCTTTCAGAAGGTCACTTTGACAGATAAGATTTCAGAACCAAATGCTAGCATACATAAGGATGATGTTTTAGAAATGCTCCAATAAATTCCCAAACACCAGAAAGGTTTTTATGCATCAGAAATGTGTATTCTGATGGATAAATCTGCCCCAGGCTGGGTGTGCAGGTAAGAGACAAGAAAATCCTTCCCCCCCCCCCTCCATTTTAAACGCAGTAGAGCAGGTTATATTTTCTTTAATCCTTGAAAAGGAGAAGGGATCTGTAAACCTGTAATTTCTAAACAATGCTGTACTTAATCTTTGCCCTGTCTACAGACATGGCAGATGCAATCTGTGTTGCAGCTGGCTTTTCACAGTGTGAGAACTCTGCATATTCATATTTATATTCACATTTATTTATATTATATTTATGTATGATGATAATATTGATCCTATCAGTAGAATCCCAGATAACACTCATAATCATCTTGATAGAATCCAACATAACATTCATCCTACCATTCGAGCTTAAAAGTATTTTAAGTTTCCATTTTTTCTCGTTCTGTTCTTCGTTTTGTGTACACAGGGATTTAATGGTCCAGTGACTGGGAAAATGGTCCGTAATTCCGATGGCAGGAAATCTGGGAACCAAATTGCTTACAATGAATTAATTGCATGAACAAACCACATGGTAAGTCTCCACTTTTCGAACAGATTCAAAGCAGACTTTACCCATAATCCTGTGCGGTAACCTGAGGAGGCTGGCCAGCTGCACTTAGGATGACAGGCAGCCAGCCTCCGTGGGACTCCCGAAGTCTGCAGCTTCTACCCCTGGATGGCTGGTGGACAAGGGGGCTTGAATATACCAGCAATCTTGAGAATAAAAGAGGCTTTGTGGTCAGCTTATCTGATTGGAAGGTCAGACTATGAGATCAAGACTCCACAGCCTGGTGAAGTGTAAATCAAAGGGGACAGCTGGTGGCCTGAACTCTGAAGAGTTGATTCTTTGACTCAGTCCCTACCCTGGCGGACCTTCCCTCTTGCTGATGAGCCACAGGGTAAATGGAGGGAGAAGTGCAAACTCAAAGCCCATCAATCCTATGATAGAAGTAGAACAGAACAAAGCCACACACAAAGGTCTGTCGAGTCAGCAGACTCAGGCTCCTGCCCAACCTGTGTCTATAAGTGATGAGACTGATTTCCACGTTTAACTTATGGCAAGGTCCCCGTCACTGATTCTCACGACATGTATACATAACGTCTTTTTCTGTGACACACGAGTAGTAGCAAAGGCTGTCCTCTGTGGCTTGACCACAAATTGCAGACTGTGAGTACCTCAGAACATCTCTGATCCTCTCCAGCTAGTTCTTGAAATTCCCAGGGAGTAACATATGTATGTTCCTAAGATTCCTCCAGCTCCCAGAAACAGACTTGAGGACCTGAAGTGGCAACAGTGACCAGCCCTTACATTTTTCAAGGGCTCTTTGTCTGGGTCCCTTAGGTCACTGATAAAGGCAGCCACATTTTCAGGGCACTGTTAGGATGTGCCTTAGCACTCCCTATGCGTGGCTGCTCCCCCAACCCAGGCTCTCAGCAAGCTGTCAGTACAGGTGGCTGGACTTGGCTGAGGCAGGGGAAGCAGGCTGGGCCTCACCAGTTCTTACAGGCTGTCTTCTCCGGGCTCATCTTTGACGTTCTTTCTCAAGTGTATTAGGGTCTGGTCAGGCATTCAGTGGTGTGAGTGGCCATCTTACCTCTCACATTGTCCAAAAGTGACAAAGACCATGTTCTGTGGCTTCAGTCTGTGCACCCTTACCTGTGGGTGACTCCCTTCACCTAGCCCATTCATTCCTCAGGCAATTGAACTTCACAGTGAGCCCACCCTGTTGGCCTCTCCCATCCCCTAGTCATGCTCAACACAAATGACTTCATCATGGACACACAGGAGCTTGGTTTCACAGGTGAAAGACTTTGAATAATTACTTTTTATAATAATTTTATCTGGAATGGATTAGTACTTTTTCAAATTGATGTGTTTCCAAGGAAGGAAGACCCTGGATAGAGTTTTCCAGGAAGAAAACCCTTGTGGGGTAGAGACAGGTAGCTGAGGTTGGAGATGATAGATAAAGCAGAGGCACTGCTCAGGCCTCTAAACCCTTCTAGAACAATGTGTCATAGTGCACAACCTCTTCCCTCTATCCGCCACTGTTAATGTCCCCAGAGGCAAGCCAACCCCATCTCATTCCTCACATCTAGACTTCTGTTTCGTTCCCTGAGCTATGCCCTTCTCCAATAACTTTGCAAAATGCAGACTTGAAAAATGATTCCATCATGCATATAATTTCTCTAAACACAACAGAGGGTACTAATGAGCAGGATCAGACATTGACCACCTGAAAGTGGACAGTTTGCCCAGGAACCTTGCAATCTTCTTTACCTTGTCTACCCCACCCCTTCTTTACATTTCTTTCCGCTTCACTTTGAGCCCCCAACTGAACTTAGCTTTACTGTGCCCTCTGATGAAGTGGGACCTGTCTAGTGGATCTTCATTAAACCTGCCCAATGACCTTCTCACACTCTAATGACATGGGTAGACTGGCTCTGGTAGGTGAGTAGATATTTGCTTGGAAGTTGGCAAAGGAGGAGGAAAAGGGAAATGCAGTGGCATTTTCTAGAAGATTCTGTCCTTTGTGGTTGTAATTTTGAGGAGAAACTGGAAAAGCTCTTCCTAGACCACATGTGAATGCTGACCAAATACTAAAGTATCAAACACTAAGAACTCAAGTGACCTCCTGTTTTGGTGTGCTCTCCCTAAAGGGACCATTTCTACTTTGTAGAACAATGTGCCCATAAATAAAGATAGAACAGAGCAAAAGTCTCTACTCACTCCAGGCCCCTGATCCCCTGCCTCCCGGTAATGCATCTTAATTATCACCATCTGGAGAGAAGTTTCCTTTCTTGTTTGCCTAATCAGGAGATCCGGCAGCTGGAATTCCAGATTGGAATCCTGCAGTGTGGAATGGCAGAGGTATTTGGAAATAGGGTGGTAGTAGTGTCTCTTGAATTATTCTAAAGAGGTCATTCTCACTCTTTCTATGCTTTGTACATCACTATTCCCAGTTTTTCTAGAAATATTTATGAGAACCGAATCCCATACCTAAATGATCCCTCACAACACTGCCTTCCCCTCCCCAAAACCGGGGGCCTATTGATCCCTACACCATCAGACTTGGTTAGTCTCCAAAGCAACCTTGGATTGCTTAAGCAATTTTAAACCCCAAACCTACAAACCTGTAGCTTAGGATTTGATGAGTGAGCAATGACCCCAATTCCTGGCTGCTGTTTTACACCCTGAAATGCTGTTATTACCATGTGACTGGGATAGCGTCACATGGTATCCACGGAGCTATCCACAGAGGTCTTACATCCATAATAATAGCTGCCGTCTACAGAATATATTAAAGGGCAATCCTTCAACCCTTACAAGAAGCACTTTTACCATCTTCGTAAGACCCGAAATTTAATTTCATAACTTCCTGAAGTGAATGTCAGTCTGGAAGAAAGACAAGCATTCTGGAATTACACTGGGGTAGATTATGATTCTGCCTCAGGAATTATGCTTGGAGCCACAGTGTGGGCTTCAGCCTCAATACCTTTTTTGAACTTCTACCTCGTCATCTATACGGTTCCATTTTTTCTATTTTTGGAAGCCAAATGCGCCCAGTGGCCCTAGGTACCAGGTGCAGCTTGCCTGGCCTTCCACACGTCATTTGCTGCACGGTCCTATCGCAGTGCTTTCCTTCTCTGGGGATACCTGACTGCTGAAGGCAGCCCCCTGACAACATCTCTGAGCCTTTACTCTTGGAAGCTTCCCTTGGATAAAGAAGAGAAGGAATCTCATAATATTTCTTGTTTTCTTCCTGAAACCTCCACTGTCAGTCCTACCTCTGACTGTGCTCCCTGCTCTGGGCAAGTCAAGGACTAGTTCCTGACCCCATTCTCCCTCATCTTTCTCAAAAATCAGGGCCAAACCTTATGACTCCAAAGGTCAGCTCCAAGCATTTGTCATTCTGGAAGCTATTTATCATTAAAATTTCACAGTTTGGGTAGAAATTAAACTATAATATATAAAGAGGGAGGCTGAAAGTCCATTCTTGCTATTTAATATGCAATGTACAGAGATGGCAAATGACAGCAGGGAGGCCAGGGCCACATAGCATTTTTGTTTAAGGACACAATTTTGGCTACTAACCATATCCTAAAGGAGTGCTGTGAGCCGTGCCATGCTCCTCATGGTTCTTTGTGAAAATCATAAGTAGACCATGGGCATAGAAGGCCTGTATGTCAATGGCTCTGCTATCCATGTTAGTGTGGTGTAGGTGGGCAACTTCTCTCTGCCACACTGGGGGGCTGCAACATGTGCCCTTGATGACTTTCCATAACACCCACACATACATACATGTACATACCATTCACATATACCATTCACACCCAGCAAACACATGCGCACACGCATATATGTATGACACACACCAAGCACACCACAGACACATCACATATATACACACATACTGCACACATGGGCACACACATCATATACACACAACCCCACCCACATCACACACACACATACACCATATTCATAGCACAACCATGTAGACACAACACAAAATCTTACACCACATATACACACCAAATCCATGTATACTATGTGCACATGCACACACTTTCCCCCTAGTTCATGATTCTTAATTCTCCTCTCTCACCTCTCCTGGCTGAAAAACAAAAAACAGAATCATTGCTGAAATAGAAAAATTTGATCTCTTTGGGAGCTATTACAACGGTGCTTCAAGGATAGTGGCAAGTGCTGCAGCAGATATTCCTCTAGTGGAGCCCAGGGAAGCTTCTGAAGCAATCCCAGAACTCCTTTACAGTCTGCTTGAGCAAATTCCCACACTTGTACAGTATTTGGTCCATAATCCCTGAATGTCAAAGCCAACACAACTCCCCAGTATATGTGCTGAGATATTATCTGGATTGACACTGAGTGAATTCATGACATCAACCAGTGGGTTCCCTCAAGAATTCCTCTTCAGACCTGATATCCTTGGGATAATGTACTCATTCATTGGACAACTACTAACTGATTTCCAATGTCAGGACATTTAGGGAGACGCACATCAGTGACTCAGACAGCCTCAGTCCTCAGGGACCAATCTTCCAGTTCTCTGGGTGCTGGGGAAGATGCAGTTGGTAGCCTATTTGGGCCACCTAAGCATCCATTGCCACCCCAGAAAATGTTTGTGCTGCAAGTACACGCAGCTTTTTGCTGGAGAAATTTTATTTTTTTTTCTGGTCAAGTGTGGTTGGTCTGAATGTCAAACAAAATGGAAATGTCCCAGATTGTTTTCCCTGGAAGCAACCCTCAGATAAATAACAAAAAAAGGCCCTGGAGAATAAATACCCTAGGTCAATATCCTTGACTTTGTTTGGGATAACTGTGTTTAACATTGTGTTCCAATGGGATTGAGCTCTCGTTCCTCATAGCAGTAAGTAAAGTGATAACAAATCTTTGATTGATTTTTCCCCTCCTTGCCTTACCAACTGTGCCCTCTATTGGTGATTTCTGGGATCACCTCTCAACTAAACTACTCACACTTGAATTTCAGAATCAGCTTCAGAGGAACTCCT